ATGAAAATCCTGCTGCCTTTGATTCAGTTCCAACTCATAGGGGCCCTATAGCCAGCTACTGAAGCTGAAAATCTTTATGGGAATAGATAGCCTCACTTTCCCCCCTCTGAGCTGCTGGTGGGTTCGAACCACTAGCCTTGTGGTTAGCAGTCTACCACTTACTCGACAGATCCACTAGAGAACTCTGTCATCATAGTGCCTTGCACAGGCAATTGGTCAGCAAATCCTTCCTTTGTTGATTGGCTCATTCAGTCACTCCGCAGGAGTTTGATAAACGTTTACTGACTATATCATTGAACGAGTGAATGCGTGATTCTGGCTCTTGAGGGCCTGATAGCTTCGGGTTTCCCAGGTCATGGTATTCTGCCTTCCTTCTCTTCCATACCCCTAATGGTCGGGATAGCCTCCCGGTTGTCAGTGTCCCTCTTGTAACACATCCCTGAGAGCTAAGCATTCCAGTCCTTCCCTAAACAAGCGACTTCCCCGGAGAAGTCCCTGGGATAAGCATGAGCTGACATGGGACACAAAGTCCTACTCTTCTGGAAGGTCAGGGGTCGGAAATGTCATGGCTTAAGTTTCCCTCCAGTGCATCCAAATGAGGATGTGAAAAACCAGAGGTAGAAGGTCGCAGTTTTATAGGTGTTCTGTTTGTATTGCCTGATAGTCCCTTTGGCCAAGGTGGATGTTATGTTTGGTCACAGGCCTGGCCTGTGCCAAGCAACAGCCTGGAAATATGTAGGCTAGAAGGCAAGCCAACTAATTGGAAGCATATTACATCAGACAGTTCCCAGGGTGGAAAGGAAGGCCTCCTTGCTAGAAAGCAGGGAGAAGTTTGGCTCCTAAGAGATCGGACGCCTTGGCTAAGGGCCAGACCTCCGGCATGCCACTGCCATGTGGGCTGCCGTAAATTCAGATGAAGATCCTCCAACTCATGCCTCCTACTTTATGTATTGAAATCACAGCCTCCTTTGTGAGACATATTAGCTCTTTAAGGTCAGGGGAAACATTTAGAAAAGTAGACGCATAAAATCTGATGTGAAAAAAAATTTTTTTAACCTATTTTTCTAATTTAATATTTGTGGGGCAATGTTATTTTTGCAGTGGGAGATCATAATCCCTGAATTAGAATGTGCTCCCCCAAATACTGTGGGTTTTCCCCCCCACATTAAATAAAATCTTATCCCGTAAATAAAATTATGTGTGGGATAGGGGTATTAATGTTAGTAAGCTCATAAATTAGGTATTAAAGGACCGTCTCTCAATGAAGCTCAGAAACTGGCTTGCAGACAAGGACGTTGAACCCCGTGGCATCGAGGTGACATGTTTGCAATTGAAGCCTTCACGTCCTCTGTGGGCACACAGGGGAGGAGCCGCACAGGGCAGTGCCTCTGTGTTCACGACGAAGCACTGCTCAGACGAAACCCACAACCAACCCTCTTTCATAATTCAGGTGCCTGGGCAGCTTCCCCGCTGAATGTGTGCCGTGAGTCTTGCAGTGGAAATAGAGCTGGTTGTAGTGGTCTTAGAGCACAAGATACATACAAAGCACCTTTGTGAGAATGGCCTTGTCGGATACTCCATATGCTAGCAAAATAAGGAGTGATTATTGAGTTATGCTACCATTGAGTTAACTGAGAACCAACACAGAGGAATTCTAGAGTCATCTGTTGGGATTCAAGCCCAAGTCTTCAGGCGGATGCTTTTCCATCAGCATTTCTACAAGTGGGGGAACATCCAGGTTCCCATGAACAGTGACCCCTGAAAATAATTTGGTAAAGGGCTTCGGTGTGGTCCTGCTGCCGTCTAAACTCGTGAGCTCAAAGCTTCTAAAGGTGGGAAAGCTGGCCGGTTCGAATTGCTGCCTGGGGTATAGCCAGGACAGCACATGCCGGGAGAACGAAGCCGCGCTCCGCGTTTGACACCATTTCTTTGGGTTGAGTTTGCAGTTAACCCTGGACACTTCCACGGTCCTTTTGGGACAACAGATCTGGCATAATCCGACTGCCTTGATGGCCGACTCGAGAAAACACCCCTGTTACGTTTATGAAGTGCTTGCAGTTTCCTGGAAGTGATGGTCCAGTCTGAAGCTTCGGCATGCTTCCCACTGACCCTTGCTTCTTACTGGCTCATCCAGTGTTGCTCGCCTCACCTCTGACCTGCCTATAGGTGAAGGCGGACCACCTTTCTGAAAGCCGTGCTTGTGCCTGAGAATGGAGCCATCTGGTTTATGAAACTATCTATGAAG